TGACAGAATGGATAAAAAATGAGGATCCATCAATATGCTGTCTACAAGAGACACACCTTAGAAACAAAGATGTAAGTTTATTAAAAATCAAAGGATGGAAAAAATATATCAAGCAAACAGCTACCAAAAAAGAGCAGGACTGGCAATACTAATCTCAGATTAAAACAGACTATAAAACAAAATCCAGCATAAAAGACAAAGAAAGGCACTATATTATGAGTAAAGGGACAATCCATCACGAAGACATAACCATAATAAATATCTACGCATCCAATGACAGGGCTCCAAAATGCATAAAACAAACTTTAACAGCACTGAAAAGAGAAATTGACAGTTCCACTATAATAGTAGGAGACTTCAAGACATCACTCTTGGTAAAGGACAGAACATCTAGAAAGAAACTCAACGAAGATACAGAAGATCTAAAGGCCACAATCAGCCAACTTAAACTCACAGACATATAAGAACACTCCACCTAACAGGTGCAAAGTACACATTCTTTTCCAATGCACAGGGAATCTTCTCCAGAACAGACCACATCTTAGGCCACAAAGCAACTCTCAACAAAATCCAAAAACACTGAGATAATACAAAGTATCTTCTCTGATCACAATGCCATCAAAGTAGAAATTAACAACAGGAGGAGCAAGGAAAAAAAATCAGTTACATGGAGACTAAATAACACCCTGCTTAAAAACCACTGGGTAATAGTAGAAATCAAAGATGGAATCAAAAAATTCCTAGAATCAAATGAAACACATCATACCAAAACCTTTGGGACACAGCAAAGGCAGTGCTCAAAGGCCAATTTATAGCAATAGATGCACACATCAAAAAAGAAGAGACAAAATCAAAACAGTAGCTACACAACTCGAACAAATAAAAAGAGAACAGCAAAAGAAGCCTACAGCCACCAGAAGAAAGGAAATAATAAAGATCAGAGCAGAAATAAATGAAATAGAGAATAGAAAAACAACATACAGAATCAACAAAACGAAAGTTGGTTCTTTGAAACGATCAACAAAATCGACAAACCACTGGCCAAATTGACAAAATAGGAGAGGACATCAATAACTCAAATAAGAAATGAAATGGGAGACATTACAATAGATTCAGCTGAAATAAAAAGGACCATAACAGAGTATTATGAAAAACTATACTCCAACAAATCTGAAAATCTAGAGGAAATGGACAAATTTCTAGAAACACATTACCTACCCAAACTATCACAAATTGATGTTGAAAATCTGAACAGACGCCATAACAAGAGAAGAGACTAAAAATGTAATTAAAAAAAAAAAAAAAACTCCCAACAAAAAAAGCCCTGGCCCAGATGGCTTCACTGGAGAATTCTACCAAACATTCAGAGAAGAGTGTACACCAGTAGTACTCAAACTATTTCCAAATATAGAAAAGGAAGGGATACTTCCAAATCCATTCTATGAAGCCAGCATAACCCTGATACCAAAAACAGGCAAAAATGCCACAAAAAAGATAATTACAGACCAATATCTCTCATGAATAGACACAAAAATTCTCAACAAAATTCTAGCCAAGAGAATTCAGCATAATATCAAAAAAATAATACACCACAACCAAGGAAGATTCATACCAGGTATGCAAGAATGGCTCAACATTAGAAAATCAATCAACGTAATCCACCACATAAATAAAAGGAAAGAGTCACATGATCATCTCGACTGATGCAGAAAAGGCATTCGACAAAATCCAATACCCATTCCTGCTAAAAACTCAATAAAATAGGTATAGAAGGGAAATTTCTCAACATAATAAAGGGCATCTATGCAAAACCAACAGCCAATATCCTTCTTAATGGAGAGAGGCTGAAAACATTCCCCTTGAAAACAGGAACAAGACAAGGATGCCCTTTATCACCACTCCTATTTAACACTGTGCTGGAAGTTCTAGCTAGAGCTATAAGGCAAGAAAAAGAAATAAAGAGCATCCAAAATGGTAATGAAGAAGTAAAACTGTCCCTATTTGCAGATGATATGATACCATATATAGAAACCCCAAAAGAGTCCACGAGAAAACTACTGGAATAGAAAGATTTAGCAGACTAGCAGGATATAAGATAAACATACAAAAATCCACTGGATTCCTATACATCAATAAAGAGAACAAAAAGGAAATCAGGGAAACAATACCATTTATAATACCTCCTAAAAAAATAATATATTTAGGAAAAAATCTAACCAGAGATGTGAAAGACCTATACAAAGAAAACTACAAAACACCACTGTAAGAAACCAAAAGAGACCTACATAAATGGAAAAACTGTACCATGCCCACGGATAGGTAGGCTCAACATTGTGAAAATGACAATTCTACCCAAAGCAATTTACAAATACAATGCAATCCCGATCCAAATACCAACAACATTCTTTAAAGAGATGGAAAAACTAATCATTAACTTTATATGGAAAGCGAGGAAGCCCGGGATAAGTACAGCACTATTAAAGAAGAATAAAGAAGGAGGACTTGCACTACCTGACCTCAGAACCTACTATACGGCTACAGTAGTCAAAACAGCCTGGTACTGGTACAATGACAAATACATTGACCAATGGAACAGACTCGAGAACCCAGATGTAAATCCATCCACCTACGGTCACCTGATCTTCAACAAGGGCCCAAAGTTCATCAAATGGGGAACAGACAGTCCTTTTAACAAACGGTGCTGGCAAAACTGGATGTCTATCTGCAAAAAAAAATGAAACAGGACCCATATCTCACACCATACACAAAAACTAATTCAAAATGGATCAAAGACCTAAATATAAAACCAAAAACTGTAACAATCATAGAAGAAAAAATAGGCTCAATGCTAGAGACCCTAATACACAGCATTAACAGGATACAAACCATAACCAACAACACACAAACTCCAGAAGATAAGCTAGATAACCAGGATGTTCTAAAAATTAAACACTTATGTTCATCAAAAGACTCACCAAAGAGTAAAAAGAGAACCTACAGACTGAGAAAACAATTTTGGCTATGACAAATCCAACCAAGATCTAATCTCTAAAATCTACAGGAAAATCCAACACCTCTACAGCAAAAAGACAAATAATCCAATCAAAAAATGGGCGAAGGAAATAGACGCTTCACTAAAGAAGACACTCAAATAGCTAGCAAACACATGAGGAAATGCTCAAGATCACTGGCCATTAGAGAAATGCAAAGCAAAACCACAATGAGATACCATCTTACCCTGGTATTCCTGGCACAAATCAAAAAACAGAAAATAACAAATGTTGGAGAGGTTGCAGGGAGATTGGAACTCTTATGCACTGATAGTGGGAATACAAAATGGTACTACCATTTTGGAAACGATATGGTGCTTCCTTAGAAAGACTAGAAATAGAAATACTCTATGATCCAGCAATCCCACTCCTAGGAATATATCCCAGAGAAATGAGAGCGGTCGTCACATGAACAGACATATGCACACCTATGTTCACTGCAGCATTGTTCACAGTAGCAAAAAGATGGAAACAACCTCGATGTCCATGAACAGATGAATGGATAAACAAACTATGGTACATATACACAATGGAGGATTATGCAACGATAAACAACAATGATGAATCTGCAAACCATCTCACAACATGGAGGAATCTGGAGGGCATTATGCTGAGTGAAATAAGTCAATCACGAAGGACAAATATTGTACAAGATCACTACTACAAAAACTCATGAAAAGGTTTACAAACAAAAAGAAACAATCTTTGATGCTGGCGGGGGGGTGGAAAAACACTAAATACACAATACATTAAGTTGTAACTTTGGTGAAGGGTAAGACAGTACACAATACTGGGGAAGCCAGCACAAGTTGTTCAGGGCAAGTTCATGGACGCTCCATGGACACATCCAAACTCCCTGAGGGACTGAATTACTGGGCTGAGCGCTGTGGGGAACCGTGGTCTCAGGGAACATCTGGCTCAATTGGCATAACACAGTTCACAAAGAAAATGTTCTATATTCTACTTTGGTGGGTAGCGTCTGTGGTCCTAAAAGCCTGTGAGGGGCCATCTAAGATACTCCACTGGTCTCACCACTTCAGGAGCAAGGGAAAATGAAAACTAAAGACACAAAGGAAAGATCAGTCCAAAGGACTAGTAGACCACAACTACCACGGCCTCCACCAGACCGAGTCCAGTACAACTAGATGGTGCCCGGCTACCACCACTCACTGCTCTGACAGGGATCACAATAGAGGGTCCCTGACTGAGCTGGAGAAAAATGTAGAACAAAATTCTAACTCAAAAAAGACCAGACTTACTGTTCTGGCAGAGACTGGAGAAACCCCGAGAGCATGACCCCCGGATGCCCTTTTAGCTCAGTAATGAAGTCACTCCTGAGGTTCACCCTTCAGCCAAAGATTAGACAGGCCCCTAGAACAAAACGAAACTAATGGGGCACACCAGCCCAGGGACAAGGACTGGAAGGCAGGAGGGGACAGGAAAGCTGGTAATAGGAAACCCAAGGTGGAGAAGGGAGTGTTGACACGTCGTGGGGTTGTTAACCAATGTCATAAAACAATATATATATACTGTTTATTGAGAAGCTAGTTTGTTCTATAAACCTGCATCTAAAGTACAGTTTAAAAACAAGTGACCTTGTTAAAAATAAGAATAATTTCACAATTTCAACTTAGCATTTTTAGAAACGAGCCACTTTCACTGCTTGGAAGATCAGGGGACTGTGCCGTCAAGTGGGCAAAATGCCCACGACTAGAGCTCGTGGTAGGAGAGCTGAGCTGGTGCAAGGCCAACCGGACGACCCTGCAGTCTTCCTTCAATTCCCGCAAGCGGCCAGAGCCCTCTCCGCCCCAGAAGCACACGTACCGGGCCAACCCCCGCCCAGCGGCGCCGCGCGCGTGCGCTCTCCCCGCCTCTCGCGAGGGTACCACCACCTGGGGGCGCCATTTCCCCCTCGTACGTTCTGTCCGCTCAGCCCGCTCTTTCGGATACCTTTGTCCAGTTCCATGAGGGCAGAGTTAGCATCCAGCTCCTGTTCGCCATAGCCGGCATCTGCCAGGAAAGACTTAGTTGAGTTTGACGCCATGACCCGAATAGTTACTTGACTAGCCTATTCAAACAGACTGAAAACTCCAGCACAGCCTCGCCATCTTCTTCCTCCGCTTTCTCGCGGACTTTCCCTCCGCGCTCTGGCAAGCCGTGATACGCATGCGCCCTGGCCACCCCACGGTTCGCCAGCGCCTCTCCGGCCCCCCGCGCAGGCGCTCAGGGAGCTGTTGAACTCCAGGTTCCCGCGGAAAGGCGAAAAGGAGGCGGGGCTCCGGAGGGGGAAGTGACATAAGGCGCCCTGACGCCACGGCAGGAGCCAATCAGAGAGCGTGACGTCAGTTTGGCGCGGAGTTTGGTGGCTGGAGTTTACAGTGGCGGGAGTTGAAGGCAGTAACTGGTCGTGTTCTTAGGGAGCAAGCTACGGTTTCTGCGGAACCTCGGGCGTTTCCAGAGTTTTTTCTTCAATTGAGCCTCTTCCTCCGGCCCAGATGCTCTTCAGTTTGGTGCTCCGCCAGCCCCAGCTTGGCGTCCCGAGAAATGGTGAGTAACGGTCCTAACCGCTGCACGTTGCTGGCGGGGTCACCTCCCTGAAACTCGACACCCGGCCGCCGAGAGGGTCCCGCGGCGAGAGTGAGGGGCCTTAGCGCGGGATGCTGAGGAAAGCTGCGTTTTCATTGCCTCGGGGTACTTTTTTTAAAAATCGTTAACGTAGGCCCAAGGAGGGAGGGAAGTAGAACTGACCTCCAAGGTCGTTTGCGGCCTTACGTCCATGGTGCGCGTTAACTAGACAGTGCTGGCGTTTTGACAACGTATAATGCACTCCCAGGAGCTGTGTGAAGTGGACACGACACGTGTTCATTAATTCATCCATTTGTCGTAGAACCTTAGAGCTCGTGCTATGTTAGATGATACACCAGTGAATGTGACGCGCTGTTAAGGAACTTAGTCACGCTGAAAAGGCACAACATCTGCTTCGAGCAAGGTCAAAAGCTATGGTTTTTTCCCCCTGATTATTACATGTTCATAAAAACTCGAAATTATAGAGTGGAAGATCTCCGTAACCACAACATCCCCCAGAGATGACCACTATTCAAAGCTGAACTATATAGTATTTTGGGTTTTTCCAATGCCAGTGGTAATGTGGATTGTTATTTACAGAAATGGGATCAAAATGTTTTGTTTTTCATTTTAACGGTATAGCTTGGATAGCTTTCCATGTTATGTAGAAATCCAACTTATTCTCTACAGTTCTTTCGATTCCTTAGGTTAAAACATTGGCAGCAAGAATTTTGAGCGTGGATTTGGGTGTCTGAAACTTTCTGTATGAAACGGAGTTACTACCCAGGCTAGTCTTAGAAGAAATTAAATTTCAGACATTTAAATGTCAGCTACACTGGGAGGTCTTCCTTCCCCTTGAGACCCTGTGGAAAAGGAAAAGAATCTGAGAAGGGAAACTTCTATATTTAAGGGGGAGGTCTAGGAAAAGGATGTTGGAAAGGGGACTGAGGCGTAGCCCCTCAACTTCCTGCTCCCAGTTTAACACTTCATACCATCCTTACTGACTTACCTTTTAAATAAACGTTTTGACTGTATTCTGAACGCCCGGCTTCCTGTCTCTCCTAGGACCATGCATGAGAAACTTCTCTGACTCTATGTCATGAGTGGTAGTACTGCATACTGTTTAAGAGCTCTGTCATTGGAGTTAGATTTGAATTTTAATTCCAGCTCCACTCCTTACTATCTGTGTGACCTGAGGCAAGCCCCTCTTTCTCACCACAAATATTGTCCTAATTCTCCACTCTGTCTACTTCTTCCCCTTCCTTTCTTTTTCCAGTTCACTAGTATTCATTCATTGCTATGTGTTAACCACCCGTAGCTGAATGGTCGATTCCAACTCATGGCGCCCCCATGTGTGTCAGAATAGAACTGTGCTCCATAGGTTTTCCATGGCTGATTTTTCGGAAGTAGATCACCAGTCCTTTTTTCAGAGGCACTTCTGGGTGGACTTGAGCCTCCAACCTTTTGATTAGCAGCCAAGCACGTTAACTCCTTGCACTACCCAGGGACTCCTGCTATGTGTTAGGCACTGAAATTTTTAGGACTGTCTTCTTTTCCTTCCCCCTTCAATGTTAGAGTTCCATCCTTGGCTCATTTTCTTCTTCTACCTACTCTATTAGATGATCAGTGTCACACCCAGGGCTTCTTCCACTGCAACAGCTTCCCTTGCCTATGCTTTAGACCCAGTCCAATAAAAGCTATATGGACATCTTCACCCAGATGTTTGGTTCCACAAGCATCTCAAACTCAGACGCCCAAAACTGAACTCAGTTTTCCCCCAAACTTGCTGTATGTATTACCTAATTTAGGGATTGGACTCATTATTTTAAACCAGTTTTCCCAGCTGGAAACTTTGACATCATCCAGGATCCCTCCATCTTCACTATTACATTCAAAAAGATTCTTTAAAATCTCTCAAATCTGTTCTGTCTTCTCTATCACCACCGATTCTCCCTCTTCACTCTGTCTTGGACCTGTTCTATCCTTACCGTCCTGTTTCCCTAGGTTGGGCCCTAAAACCTTCTTACATGGACTCATATCTCCCAAGGGACCTCTGAGTTTCCCCCCTCTAGTTTATTCTCCACATTGCTGCCAAAAGTCTTTCTAAAATGGAAATCTGATTACTCTTCTGTGCATTTTTAAATTTGGTATCAAAATTTTTTTATCATGAGTTTAAACAGATGCAAAGAATATAAATTTTGACAAATTGTGAATACTGACATTTAAAATAAAAATGCTACATCCCTCTTTTAAATATATCTGTTGTTAGGTGCCGTTGAGTCAGTTCCGACCCATAACGACCCTACGAACAACAGGGGGCTACCTGTAGAATGCATTCATATACTACTTGTGTAATTAAAAACAAGTTTTAAAAGATAGAATACAGAAATAACACACACATATATTTTTTAAAAACAGTGTTATGAGCAATAATAGAGGAAATTCTGCACAGGGCATTTTAGGGGAACAGTACTGTTCTACTAAAGGCCGCCAACCTACTCATGGGGTTTAGGGAAGAGGTCCTGAAAGACCAAGAGGGAATCAGATGGGGAAAGTGGCCCAGGTGAAATGTCACATCTTTTGTGACGATCTCTCTAATACACCCTTCAAAGAATAATTTTCAAAAAAGTTAGAAACAGGGTTCTTATGCAAAATATAGTAGACCCATGTCAAGGATTTTAATCAACTCCTAGTTTACTGAGGGACCAGTAGGATAGAAAGACTGGTTCAAAAAATAATTTGAGGAAGGGGATTTATATAGTCAGCCAAAGGAGTTCTGAAATGAATGTACTTATAGAGAATTTAATTAAAGAATTTTGTCTTTAAGTTGTGTGCTTTTATTGAACTGGCCTTTAAGTTAGTGTGCAGGTAAGCCTTGGCTGCCTCCGCATCTCAGCCAACTCCCAGGGAGACCAAAAGCCTTCATACATCTAATGTTGGGGGAATAAGAGGGGCCAAGATGGCCGACCACTCAAAATAAAACAAAGTAAAAAGAGCAAGTATTAAGGCGTGTTATGTGTTAGTTGCCATGGAGTGGGTTCTGACTCTCATCGACCCTGTGCACGACAGAATGAAACACTGCCTGGTCCTGTGCTGTCCTCAGAATCCTTATTACGCTGGAGTCCTTTGTTGCCGCCACTGTGTCAATCCATCTCATTGAGAGTCTTCCTCTTTTTCGCTGACCCTCTACTTTACCAAGCATGATGTCCTTCTCCAGGGGCTGGTTCCTCCTGATAATGTGTCCAAAGTACATGAGACAAAGTCTCTCCATCCTTGCTTCTGAGGAGCATTCTGGCTGTTCTTTCAAGACAGATTTGTCCGTTCTTCTGACAGTCCATTGTATATTCAATATTCTTCGCCAACACCATAATTCAAAGGCATCAATTCTTCTTCGATCTTCCTTATTCATTGTCCAGCTTTTGCATGCATATGAGACGATTGAAAACACCATGGCTTGGGTCCTCAAAGCAACATCTTTGTTTTTTAACACTTTAAAGAAGTCTTTTGCAGCAGATTTGCCCAATGCAATGCAGTATATCGAATAGATTATAAATACTACAGTGATTTGTTGATTACATCCTTCACTTTTTCAAAATATGAACAAAGTCTTCTTTAACTGGTAGACATATTACATAGTTGCTTTTCCCCCTTTAACTTATTTGCATTTTATTTCCCCCACAGAATTTATCCTAATGTAATTTAAGTTTATGCTTGAACAGTTCTTTTATTAATTGCCTTGTCATATTACTATGTGTCAAAAAATATATTTATATTGATGATTTCTTTGTCATAAGGCTCCAGGTGTTAAAAGTTTCTTCTGGGTTAATTATTGTAATTATTAGTAGTACACAATTGATCAAAACAATATAGATTACTTATTTTGATAAGTAATTGTTAAGCAAAAAATAAAATTTTATTGGTAGTACATCTTTCAAGAGATGGATCTGGGTGAGTGTTTATGATGTCTTTAGCAAAGGAATTATCTAGCTGTCTCTTAGATGGAGTCCCAGAAGTGGTTATACCTTGGTCAATGCAAGGTATAAGTGTGGGGGGGTGGAAATGCCTTTCATTTGGAAAGTAGAGAAAAGCAGTGATGAAGGGGGGTGGGGGGGAGAGTCTCAACTTTCTTAGATCAATTTTAGAAATGCATATATATATGGAAGTTGAAGATCTGACAATAGATTCTCTGAAAATTCTGCCCTTGTGTAGTCCTTGAGAAATATACATGTAATCCCAGGGTCTAAAATTGTACATTGAGGAAAGAGTAGGTTTTTCCAAATGACTGTGCTGTGGAAAAGCATTCCAGGTACCTGTTCAGAAGTAGAAAACAGCATAGCATAATATGGATCCAAAAGTGACTGATGATGTGGAATGCATGTTGTGGGGAGAGCAGAAATGGAGGGAGTAGGCAGGAACCAATCACGGAGTACATGTTAGACTGTACGAGGGTGTTTGGTTATTAGTCTGTAGACAGTGAGGCAGAATTGAGAGGTCACTGTATAATTGTAAAGAATTAGATTTTCCAGAGTATATCACCTTCAATTTCACCTAAATTGTTTG